CTTTAACAGACTCTCATGGGATCACGTAACATGTGTGTATACATTTTATATACATATATATGTATATAAAAATATGTATATAACAAAGTGTTATATACATATATATGTATATAAAATGTGTGATGAAAACAAAAATACATACAATAAAATTTTTTTAAAAAAGAAAAGATTAAAAAAAGAAGGACTAGTGCTTTGGACAAGAACCAATACAAAGAATCAAACAGGACCTTATTAGTTCAATTACAAGAAGGGTATCTGGTAGAAAGTAAATAAACAAATAATTGGTGAAAATCAAGCAACAGGCTCAGGGATAGAACAAATGCAAAGTGGAGTGAGTATGCAATCATGAATAATAATAATATGCAAAGATTATTATGTAACCAACTAAAAAGTAGAAACAGAAAAAAAGCACCATTCATGACAGTGGAGGACAGAGATGGCAAAGGCCCTAGAAACAAAGCAGTTTAAAATGTACAGGTTTTTTCAAAACGGCCTAGAAGGGCATTGAAAGACATGAGCAGTGAAGTTACTCTTCTGAGAACTGACTATAAAGACATTCTATAACTATGAATGGTGAAATGTCAATTGACCCAAATTACAAGTTAAATACAATTCCAAATATAAAAACAGCAAGACCTTTTGTGGAACTTGACAATTTCTTCTTAACACCATGTGGGAGATCAAGGGGAAAGAAGAGAATTAAGGGAAGTTGCATCCCCAGTATCAAGTGTACCACAGATTTAAAAGTTTGTTTTTACTACAAAAATAGTCTAGTCTATAGATGAACTAGAACAGAGAGACTGACTACTGAGCTACACGAATTCGGTTTTGGCAGAGTAGGTTTAGTAGTCAAATGGAAAGGATACATATTTGTCTCACGAGAAATAGATTTCTACACAAGAAAAAAAAAATGGAGCCCTTCCCCAAATGACACACAGAATGAACAGCAGCTAAGTTAGAGGCTGCTAGCGCAAACCCGGAGGAGCCAGTAGGAAAGGGCTCTGCTGTGCCAACAATGTGCCAGATGCTCCACAGCATTCAGCTACTGAAAGAGTTAACCACCTGGACAAGGAGGCTGTGTGTGACCAGGACAAGGCTGTGTGTGACCAGGACAAGGCTGTGTGTGACCAGGACAAGGCTGTGTGTGACCAGGACAAGGCTGTGTGTGACCAGTCAGGTAGAGAAGTGTAGTTGTTAAAGTTACTGTTCTTGTTTTACTCTTTTGGCTCTTTGGGGGCCCCACCACCCAGCACCCAAATAAACACATGGAGACTTATTATTACTTATAAATACCCAGCCTTAACTTGGTTTATTTCTAGTCAGCTTTTCTTAATTAACCAGTCTACCTTTTGCCTCTGGGCTTCTATCTTTATCCTGTATACCTTTCTGTACTTCTTACTCCGTGGCTTGCTGTGTGGCTGGGTGCCTGGCACTTGGAGTCCTCCCCTCCTCCTCTCACTCCTAGATCCTTTCTTCTCAGATTTCTCCTCCTATTTATTCTCTCTGCCTGACAGCTCCCCCTACCCTTTCTCCTGCTTTGCTATTGGCGGTTCAGCTCTTTATTAGACCATCAGGTGTTTTACCATCAGGTAAAGTAACACAGCTTCACAGAGTTAAACAAATGCAGCATAAAAGAATGTAACATCTTTGCATCAGTAAAGCAAATGCTCCACAGCATAAACAATAAACAAATGTAACATATCTTAAAATGATATTCTATGACACAGAAGCACCATCTTCTTTCTGAGCCAAAAATGAGGAAAGAAAACTAGAGATATAAGCTGAACAAAGGTGGCTTTTCTCAAAAGATACCTATAAATTAAGGAATAAAGTCCAAGAGGCCAAAACAAAGAACAAATTCTGAACGAGGAGGATCAACATTAGGACTTTCCAAGGAGTCATTTGGCCTTAAAATATCAGGATATTTGATTACACTGTGTGAAAGGCAACTTCTGATTGGTTTAATAAAGAGCTGACTGGCCAATAGCTAGACAGAAGAGAATAGGCGGGACTTCCAGGGAGAGAGAACTGAAGATGAATCTAGATGCACAGGAGATGCCAGTAAGTCAGACATACAGAACGGAGGAGAGGTAAAGAACCATGTGGGAGTAACAGAAACAGGTTCATTTAAGTTATAAGAGCTAGGGGAACAAGCCTAAGCTAAAGGCCAAGCTTTCATAATTAATAATAAGGTTCCATGCATTATTTGTAGGCTGGAGGTCCAAAGAAAGTCTGACAAGAAAGACCAACTATGCTCTACATCCTATTAAAGCAGGCCAGATTCAAATTATCTCTGATCCAGATTGGATTAATGTGATCCAGAATTGCTGCCTGACAGAATCAAGCAAAAAGCCTTTGGTGGAAGAAGACATCAATATTCAGAGATTCAAATCATATCTATTTTTATTTTTATTTTTGTTGCTGTTGCTATTGCAAGGATTAAACCGATGGCTTCATGCATGCTGGTCAAGCACCCTACCAAGTTACATCCCTCGGCTCCATTGTTTTTAAAGACAGATTCTCACTACATAGCCCTGGCTGGCCTAGAATTCAGTTTGCAAACCACGCTAGCCTTGAACTCAAGGAGTTCAAGAATTCATACAGCCTGCTTCTGCTTCTCAAGTACTGGAATTAGAGACACTATTTCAAAGATAATCAGACACAGACCAAAATGATGAAAATCGAGAAAAAAGGAAATGATCCCAGAACCCCTCACAACAGGGTGAGACAGGGGAAGAAAGAAAGGAGGGAGTTCCACTACTCTAGGGACATCAAAACAAGGGGTAAAGTCCGAAAAACTATAGATATGAGACTCATCCAAACAAGAACAAATACCTTTAAAGATGTTAAAAGCCTACTCTAGGTACATCAAAGCAAAGCTTCTGAAATCCAAAGGTTAAATCCTAAAAATAGTAACATTATCTTCAAAGAAACAACTGCAAAACTTACTAGAAGAGACAAAGGAGCTAGACAGTCATGAGATGGCATCTTCTGATACTAAAGAAACTGTCAACCAAGATTTACAAAACCTGAGAGCGGGCTCTGGGTGCAGCGCAGTGGTGGAGAACGTACATAGCATGCAGGAGTCACTGTAATCACCATCTTACACGTTTAAAAACAGTTGATGTTCTGCATGCAACTGGGAAATGTGGAGAGAAATAAAAAGCAATTAAAGCAAAACTTCATGGATAATTATAAGCACTGCCAATGTAAATAAAAATGCCAAGTGTTTATGTACTGATAGATATATGTGTGGATAGATAGGTAGATAGATAGATAGGTAATAGACAGACAGATAGATAGATGATAGATAGATGATGTACACACAGAATTAAACAACAAAGCATATAACAAAAACAACAGAGCACGCAAATCCTAAAGTGACTATGAAAAGCACTGTTTTATGACCATGAAAACAACTACTAGAGTGAATCTGATGGGGGCCTAGGTTCAATTCCCAAAACCCCAAAAAGAAATGAAACATATCCTTCTATTACTAGTCCCCAAACAGTGTTAGTCCTTTTAGATAATAAATGGGGGGATGGCCTTGTACCAGACAGCAAGTCTACTAATGCTCTTGAAAACTGACACAAACTGCCAAACGAGGCAAGAAGCACAGGCAACCCCCACAGACCACACCTATCTCCTGTACCATTCTAGTCTTTTTCATGAAGAGATGTTAACTACTCTGTGAAAATAGTGACTAGGCTGTCCTAATGCAGGGGTCCCAACATGCCAGGGGACTGACTCCTTACAAAGGATATGAAGGGGCAGAACCCCTCAGAGGCTAAGTGGTGAAGCCAATTATTTCTTCAAGATTGTGGTCATATCCGTGTCTATCTATAAGAACTGTACTTTCACAGCTCGTAATGATTGGTACAAGGAAGAAACTTCTTGAATCAACTACCTACTCTATACTCAAAATAGTAAAATTAATACTTTAAAACCATGAAAATAGATGTTTAAATTTTTCTATTTCACATGCTTCTACTCCATCTCTTATTTGATCATTTTAAAAACCAAATGGAGTGAGGTTAGCCCTGAAATGACTTTCTAACACTCCTCTAACTAGGGTGTAATTATTTCAATTATGCTGCCACTCAAAAATCATCTGATTTACATAAATGCTATTTAAGAACAATAGAAATTCTAAGATACTTAATTAAAATGTCACAGATGATTTAATCCTCTGTCAAAACAAGGATTATTAAACTTCTGTTTCACTTCCTTTTAAAGAAATCCTATTTATTTTCTCCACAGAAAAATATTAGAATAACGTCCAAGTATTTCTCCAATCAGAACGTTAAAATGACTCTGGTTAACCACAAATTGATTCAAGTAGTTATGTACTTTTTCTGAATTTATTTTACCAAGACATGTTTGACAGTACATAGTAACTTCATATAGAAACTAAAGTACTGTTCTACAGAATTACAAATCATTTCATTGATAATTCTTCTTAGCCACCCACATTAAAAGATCACTGAGCCTTGGTTGTTAGGTTTTATTAAGTAGTACACTTCAGTAAATTCACTTCATGCAAGAGTGTGTGTGTGTGTGTGTGTGTGTGTGTGTGTGTGTGTGTGTGTGTGTGTGTGAAATCTAGCACTTTCATTTCCACATACCTGTTGGACATTTGAAAAATAAAAAAATTTCAATTATTTTCAAAAATTCAGAAATGTAACTTCATCTATTACCAGCTAAAAATGGTAATACAGAAAAATTAAGATGAGGAAATGTAATGAATGTTATGAAGTTTAGATAGAATTCCAGCATCATTTACTGAACTTAGATTACTACGCATATTCTGACTCTCAAAGGACTAGCAGTTCCCCAGTACCTGAGAGGTCACCAGGTGACTCAACCTGCCTTAGAAAGATGCATGCCTAATCTCAACCTCCTTTTTTTCCACTAATGTTTTCTTTGTAACGAAATACTAGTCAGATTCTACAGTGGAACCTTTCAATGAGACTGGGGTGGGAGACGTTCTGAACACTTACCGTCTTGTTCCGTAACCGAATGATGTCCGAGACAGAGCCAGCTCCACAGTACTCCATGACGATCCACAGGTCTGTGTTCTTGAAGTAGCTGCCATAGTACTTCACCACGTAGGGGCTGAAGAGAAAGACAGTTATGGTTCATTCGAAAGAAAGTTTTTTTCTTAATCCTAATATAAAATATTCTCAACGTTTCATGTTTCAATAAATAAATTTAATGACTTAACTTCTATTTACATTGAATCGTCTGTAGCTAAAGCCCAGCAACTGCGTATAATTAGGTTTTACTTCATGGATGAAAATTTAACAAGATTACAAGCCAGAGGAGGCCCAAGTGTTTTGAGTGATCCCCAACAAAAATAATGCTTCATTTTGGCAAAGCATTTACTACTTAATATTAGAAACAAATGGAGTTAGTTTCCTTTAACAAAAACATTTTAAATATAATGGTTCTAAAGGATTTTTCACTCACTATTAATGCTCAGCTTCAAAATTATGTCTATTTCAATGAAGTCAAATGGCATATTTTTTCTTTCATGTTGTTGTTTGTACCGTTCTTGAGAAAAAAAAATACTCACACAAACAGCATATATTCAATCAATATCATTAACAATTTAGAGTATTTCTGAACTGACAGTTTAAATCTTACAGAGATGAATAAGCTGTGTTCACACCCAAGTCATTTACAGAAAAACTTAGAAGCAAACAATGAACTCTATTACAATTATTGATTGTTAAAGATATGCTACATACACTGGTATATAAAATATCTTATCTGTGGAATATTCCTTTACACTGTGTAAATATATGCTGCTATGATTGGTTTATTAAAGAAGGTGATTTACCAACAGCTGAACAGGATAAGGTTGGGGCAGAGTCAAACAGAATGCTGGGAAGAAGGGTGGAGTCAGAGGAGCATCAAGCAGATGCAGAGAAGCAAAATGGACATGTTGTACTGAGAAAAGGTACCAAACGTAAATGTAAGAGTTAGCTAATAACAAGCCTGAGCTATTGGCTGAGCAGTTATAATTACTATTAAGCCTCTGTGTGGTTACTTTGGAGCGGCTTCAAGGACAGAAACTTCTGCCTACACTTATCTAAAAGAGAGAGTTTTCAACATCACAGAAAACACAGAAGGATTAAAACTACAAAACAGCAGAGACTGTTGCACACCCTTCTACGTAATCAAGCTCAAAGGAGGACAATCTGAGAGAATGTAGTAGAAAGGATTTAATCTAAGCAAAACTATTTTAAAAATTATTTACAGGGGCTGGAGTGATGGCTCAGTGGTTAAGAAAATTGGCTGCTCTTCCAGAGGACCCAAGTTTAATACCCAACACCCACATGGTAGCCTTACAACCATCTGTGACTTCAGCTTTATGGGATCTGACACCTTCTTCTGGCCTCCCTAGGCACCAAGCATGAATATAGGGAAGAGATATTCTGCAAAAACACACATACATGTAAAATAAAATAAATAAATCTAAAAAGAAAAAAAAAGTTTTAATTATTCCAACCCATGGGTGGCAAAGAGAAGATGGTTTAAAAATAAACCCGCATGGGTAAAACACCTAGAAAAATGCAGTTTGTTTAGAGGACAGTTTGATTACAGAGTGCATCCAGTAAAGGCTACTATCAAAGGTGGCTACTTCACTAGCTATCAGTGTCAGATAAACAAAATATAAGAAATGCCGGGCGGTAGTGGCGCACGTCTTTAATCCCAGCACTCGGGAGGCAGAGCCAGGCGGATCTCTGTGAGTTCAAGGCCAGCCTGGTCTACCAAGTGAGTTCCAGGAAAGGCGCAAAGCTACACAGAGAAACCCTGTCTCGAAAAACCAAAAAAAAAAAAAAAAAATAAGAAGAAGAAGAAGAAAAGCATTACAGGGCCAACGAGACAACTCAGCAGGTAAAGGTTTTCACCTCCAAGGCTGACGGCCTGCACTAAACCCCCAACTCTTGCAGGTTCTCCTCTGACCTTTACATGTGCACATGGAAAACCTACCCACAGCCATAACACACACAACAAATAAACATAAATTTTATAAAAGGACAAAAGAAAGATCTCATATGGGAATGTGCACTGCTCTTACAGAGGACCTGAGTTTAGTTCCCATCATGCAACCTGTGAACAACATTTTCTGGCCTCTGCAGGTACTGCACTAACATTGACAGAACAGAGACTGTTAGGCCTCAAACCCAGGACAAGTCTCAGTACCTGTGGCTCCTCCCAGTTCTCCCAGCATCCCTCAGTACCTGTGGCTCCTCCCAGCATTTCTCAGCCACCTCCCCACCCTAAACCTGTCCCTCCCAGGGGTGGGGCTTCCACTTCCCTTCCCCCAGCCCAATCCCTCTGTAACTGCCATTTGGGCTGCTCTGCTCTCTCGACCTCTTGACCAGGGATGCGTCTCTTAGTTGGTGGCTCCTCTCTTGCTCTCCCCCCCCCCCTCATGGTCTGGTTTAGTCAGCCGGCCATGCTCAGCATGGACTCTTCCCTCTGCCAGATTTCTCCCTTAGTTCTACAATCAAAACCTTCTCCATGCTTCAGGAGTAGTCCTGTCCTCCGCCTTCTATTTCATGTTTTCATTCAGAAGACATTTTCTTAAGACATCATTAAGGAGGCTTAAGACTGTCAGAGAAGACTTTTTAGTAGAGCCTTAGAACTGTACACAGTCTTCAAGTCAAAATGACACGGACGGCTGGTGCTTAGGGCTGGCTGAGCTTTAGCTATTCTGGCTGCTAAAAATAGGTGGCTACTAGGCTGAAATGCAAGGTCTCACCCACTGCTTCTCCGTTTCCTCTGACTTGCTTTGCCAGGTCACAGATCCTCCCCACCTCCCCCCTATAATCAATGTTCTACACAGCTGCTCAGCTGACAGTCACCTCCCTTTAAAACAAATGAAAACAGGTTCATCACACTGTTCTGCTGACTTAGGAGAAAAGAAAACAAACAAAACACAAAAACGAACAAAACTCTGATGGCTCTTCATTATCTAAAGGTTAAAAAAAAAGTCTGAATTGCTCTGTATCAAATACAGACACTATATTTTCACCTCTCCATATAATACCTAACTCTTTTATCCCTACATTTCTCCACCAAATTAACTTGTCCTCAGCATTCTGGACTTGCAATCACCATGGCTGAGTAAGGCACCCTGCCTCCTTGTTCTCACTACCACTCCAAGAACCCACAGTCAGCACTCAACTATAATCAGGCAGAGCTCTTTGTTCATGTTTTTGTCCTCCCAACTAGACCTTAGTGCTTCAGGAAGGAAAACAAAATCTTAGTTTCCTTAGTATTTCTAGATCCTGACACAGTACTTGTCCAATAGGAAAATATTCATAAGTGCTTGTTGAATGAGTCAGATTTACAAAAACAATTATATGCCAGATATGGCAGAACATGTCTATCATTTCATAACTCAGAAGGATGAAGCAGAAGGATCCCAAATTTGAGGCCAGTCTATGGGAATTCAAGGCCAGCCAGCCTTAGGCTATATAAGAAACCCTGAGTGGAAAAACAAGAACAGAAAATGTAATACAGAATTAAAATGAGCCACTTAACATCAAAAACAAAATAACTATCCATAAATTTTCCTGAAGAAAGGAAGGCTGGTTATTCCCTCCCTGTATTCCTTTATATCATCTCTGTTTATTAGCAAAGAGTTGTAAGTCCAAACAAAGGACAATTCGACAACATCGTCCTCGAGTTATTTAGTATTGATCTTGCTTCTAATGTGAAATCATGAACAACTTACATAGGTAACAAAAATATATATATTTTATTATGTAACTAATGAAAGTAATCATAATGAACACAAGGAAATAAAGTATTTTCTTACCTGTCACATTGCTGCATTATGGAAATTTCTTTAATTATTTCCTGAAGATCTGACTCAACAGGTACTTGCTTAATTGCAACAACTTGACCAGATTCCTTATGTATAGCTTTAAAAACACTTCCATAAGACCTTAAAAAAGAAAGCCAAGACATTATTTTTTTCATATCATTGTATTAAAGACTACTGTGACTTTTACACATATTTTGCATATTACATTTTCAAGCTTAAATCATCATATAAATGATGAATAACAAAAATAAAGGAATAATAAGTTAATGAAGCAGCTTTACTGCTCAAATTACAAACTTAAAATTTATCATGTAAAAACAGAATGAGTTGCTGTTTTCTTATGGAGGAAGGGAGCGAGAGGTGGAGGAGAGGGAAGGAGGCAAGTGACTAACTTACGGTTTGTCAACTCAAACGCAGCTTAAGGAGACAGAAACGGAAATTACAAGCACGAAAATTAAGTTAAAAACAGTCCAAGTCTCGGGTAAGAGAAAAAGCTGAATCAAGCAAAAGTCCCGGGATGCTTTCACTGTGAACCTTTTTTTTTTTTTTTTTTCCATTTTTGACTCTTTTGAGGCAGGGTCTTGTGTGACCCAGGTTGGCCTTAAGCATAGCCAAGAATGATCTTAAATTCCCAAGAGGGGGATTACGAATGTGCACCACAACACTCAGCTACTGTGAACCTCTTAACACTAAAGCAGAGAATCCTCAGTCAAAGTCCCCTCAAAATGCTTCTTTCAGTATTGTCTCCCCAAGAGAAAGGCCACATGCTCATAGGTATTCACATAGGAGACACAGGACTTAATGTCTACTCCAACTCTTGAAAGTCTGTCAAGTAAATATTCATGTACTTTACAGAGCAGACACAATGAAGAAGGAAGTCATCTGTAATTTAATATGAACTCCAATCAAGGTTTAAAACCAGTGCAGCAGGTACTAGACAAGGTTTTACAAGCATTATCAAACTCTCCTCTCAATCATGAGGAAAAATATAATTCTCATCCCAGAAAGATGAGGATACAGACTCAGTGACTCCAAAGACCATGGTCTTCTCACCACACTGTTTCCACAGAAAAGAACAAGATACAGTGTTCCCGGTGTCCCGAATATTACAAACTACACAATAAGCACTGCCAAGTTGACACTCTGAAAGTAAGCGGCAGTGTCACAAGCAGTCAGAAGACACTGTCCTCGACACTGCGTCCCGCAGCACAGGCTCTCGAGAGCGACTTCATTCACTATGGTGACAGTCACTGGGAGAAAGGCTGCTTTTCCTTCTCAAAAGCTAGGGTAGGATTCAATGCTAAATTATTAAGATGAATTAGCAACACCATCCCTCCTCTCCAAGGATATCTCAGATCTATAACAGAAATTGAGAGCTCTGTTTCCCAGAATCTCCCTCCTGAGTTGGTTTCCAGTTAAGACTGTGCCTAAACAGTCACAAAATCTGAATGCAGGAAGATCTAAGATTGAGGGGTCGTGGAGACTTACTCTGGGTTTTTAGAGGGCAGCTGAGGCTAGGTAATATGTGGCAGGTATAGGAACCCATGCACAGGGGGCCGTGAAATACCGCTGTGTGAAGCTATGAGGTGAAGCCTAACCTGCAGGAGAGACCTCAGGACATCTACCAAGCAAAGCTGCACATATGCATGCATGGCGTGGAGCTAACTAGAGAGGGTGAGGCCACAGGCTGTATCCTCCAACGATGGCAAAGTTGCGTTTGTAAGAGATTTTTATCAACAACTAGAAAAGCAACTAAGAATGCCTTCTATTTTACTTCATCAATATTAAATTATCTCTCTGTCTTCTCTGTGGTAACTAATCTCAGTTTTCACTTCTTTGTGAGATCAATTCACAGACTTTGTATCTGCTAAGAAATCCTTAGCTTCTGGATCCTCAAACTGTCACAAAGCAGCACCCCAACTCTCAAACTTCCTCCTGACCAGAACTTACACCCTTGTCTTAGTTTGATCTTGCAGACTTTCGCTCTCCTGTTCTTGCATTCTCTCATTCCGTCCCTCCCTGTGTGTGGGTAGAGTAGAGGGTGCTGGAAACTGAACCCAGGGCCCTGTCCATGCTATATCTCTATCTTGATTTATATTAGTCAATAACAGAAGCTATTTAAATAAATTATTACATTCCAAGGTTTTCATATGTACTTATTATTCCTAAATTTTTACTTCATTAATTTCAGTTTTAGTCAGTTTTCCCTCCTTGTTTTTGTTGTATTTTTATTATTTTAGCTCTTTTTAGAATATGAAAATTTGGATGGTCAGTGGTAGTGCACTCAGGAGGCAGAGGCAGGCAGATCTCTGTGAGTTCTGAGGCCAGCCTGGTCTACAGCGTGAATTCCAGGATAGCCAGGACTACACAGTGAAACTCTGTTACACACACACATACACAGACGCATATATATTTTGTGTGTGTGTGTGTGTGTGTGTGTGTGTGTGTGTGTGTGTGTGTATAAAGTTGTTTAAGTAAGTACTATTATTTTTTACCTTCATTAATAATGAAAAAATCTGAACTAAAATTTTTCACTTAACAAGTTCCGGAACATTCTTCATTTCTTTTCATTGCTCTCTAAATAATCTATAATATTTCCTTCAATCTTTAGATTACCTCAGATTATGTTTCCCAATTTATATTTACTAAGATATTTCATTTTGTAACTATTTCTAAGTTAGCCAACTATATCAGAAAATGTATTTGTAAAAATCTATCTTAGATAGGGCTCACAGAGACTGAAGCAGCAATCACGGAGCCTGCATGGGTCTGCACTAGGTCCTCTGCATACATGTTAAGGTTGTTGGCTTGGTGTTCTTGTGGGACTCCTGACAGTGGGAGTAGGGGGGTCTCTGACTCTTTCGCCTGCTCTTAGGACCCTTTTCCTCCTACTGGGTTGCCTCGTCCAGCCCTGATGTGAGGGTTTGTGCCTGGTCTTATAGTATCTTGTTGTGCTATGTTCAGCTGATGTCCCTGGGAGGCCTACTTGTCTCTGAAGGGGAACGGAGGAGGAGTGGAAACAAAAAAATTTAAAAAAAAAAAAAATCTACCTTAGAATTTGTCAAGTTTCTGTCTTTAAAGATAAACCAAAAAAGGAAGACTGCAAAGTATATACGTGCAAGTCTAAGCATACATAAATACAAACAGATGCTTTACATAAATACATACATAATCAAGTCTGCTAATAACATTTAATCCCTTTCTATGTTTTATATCTGTCCAATTCTAAAAGACATATAAAGACACATATCCATTTTTCATTAGAGTCCACTGACACTGCAAATAACTTGCCCATTATAAGTTTAGTTATCATACTATGTGACAAAAATGTTTTGATATAATTTTTCTTTCCTATCCTTACATAATGTACTTCTTTTCAGTCTGACTTTAATTCACCTAATATAAACACTGCCCCTTCTATTTTCTTTTTAGTTTTACTCACAGGTTTAATTCTTTCTGATAATGATTTTTGAACAGGACTCAATGTTTTGTTTTATATGGGTCTCATGTAAGCAGCATGATTAGCTTACTTCAATTTTCCCCAAAGAGTTCATCTTCAATGTGACAACTCATATATAGTGAGCAATACAGTTCATTTCATTCCTTCCATCTTCTATTTGCAATGTTGTATGTTATGTTCTTATAAATGTAATTACTTTACACTTACTATCTACCTTTCTGTATGATCAAATGATATACATTCCTCTACTATTAATTTGACACTGTTAACAATTCTCTGTCTATAAATACTGATTTCCTCCAGATACTCAATTCACAGTTTCCACTGGCCTTTTCCCAAATAAAATAAGGTGCTAAAACAAACCTATAGCCACTAGCCTAATAAAGCCAAAACTGTAGTTTATTAATGAGAATGCAGCCTAAGATAAACAAACCTCTTACAAATCACTTTACACCATATTTCTTACTTCACAGAAAGAGAGTGAGGGAGAGAGATTACTCCTCTAAAAGACAGTATTACCGCCCGGGGTGCACACCTTTAGTCCCAGCACTCAGGAGGCAGAGCCAGGCAGATCTCTGTGAGTTTGAGGCCAGCCTGGTCTCCAAAGCGAGATCCAGGAAAGGCACAAAGCTACACAGAGAAACCCTGTCTCGGAAAAAACAAACAAACAAACAAAAAAAGACAGTATTACCATAGCTATCATAATTTGACATTAATTGCCAAATTTAATTGGTATTAGTAGTATTCAACTCCAGCAAGCACACTCTAGTTGAAAGACTAGACAAAGCTGTCATATCAAAAAGTTATGTTCATTTTTTTTTTTTTTTACTCACCCTTCTCCAAGCTTCTCCAATACATCGAAAACCTCCTCAGGTTGCTTAGTCAAACTGTCTTCACTCAGCTTTTTTAGCTTACTGATAAAATTTAAAAAGAAAGAAAATTCTTTCCTTAAAATCTTTTACAAAAAAAAATGTAATATGCAATATAATCAGATGTTTCAAAAACTAATATGAAATGTATAAAGCAAACAGTCTCCTTCCAAGTGATGTTCCTCATGTGCCTAGGCAACACACCCTGATACAAACCTCTTCTATTAGCTTTTGTGAGGCTGTCATTCAAACATGAATACATTTTCCCTCATTCAAGCATACAAGATAGCATTTCATACACACTCTACTTCGTGCAGGCTCTTGAGTCCTCTATTGCCTTCACCCAACAATATATAGTCATGAATCACTTAATAAAGGAGATAGATTCCAAGAAGTATTTTAGGCAATTTCATCATAAGAACATTACGGCATGTATTTCAACAAACCAAGATGGTATAGCCTATTACATGGGTAGTATATACCAATTTCTACTACTATGTCCATACAAGACAGGAAAATGAGGTAATCAGAAAAGATGGTAGAAGACATGCATGGCTTACAATTTTGTACTAAACATTTTTATAAGTAGGAATATACTCATAAACAACTATTAGAACTACAGTGCAGTTAATACATAAATGAACAGCTTAGTCATTTATTATCATGGCCAAGTAGTATATACTGTACACAAAAGCATGTGTTATACTTTTATAGGATTGTAGCACACTGGCTTGTTTATACTGGTACCACTATAAACATTACGTGTTGTATTCAAAGATCACAGTTGCTATACTATCACTAAATGACAGAAAATTTTCAGCTCCATTATAATCTTATGAGGCCAGTGTCATCATGCATAATTCATCATTAACCAAAACATTATTATGCAGCATATTGCCCTTATAGGCATGTATCTATTACTGTAAATATAAATATAATCAATTCTAATATGACTAGCATAAGATCACTATATGACTAAAATTGTTACTATACTATGATGTATTTTTGTTATCCATTTGCATATACACAGAGAGACAAACAATAATCTCCTTATCACTGTATTTACATAAGAATAATAATATAGAACTCTGCCTACTACTGTTTTGTTAAATGAACATGGTATCAAATTGTCTTCTATATATCTTTAAGTCCATAGATTACTGCAGCTCTTAGCCTTCATCAGAGAACTTCCCTTTGCAGCGGACAGCGGTTAATATAGAGACAATAGTTGTCTTAGTTTGAGTTTCTATTGCTCAATAAAACACCATGACCAAAGAGCAAGTTGGGGAGGAAAGGGTTTATTAGGCTTACACTTCAGCATAGCTGTTCATCACTGAAGGAAGTCAGGACAGGAACTCAAAACAGGGAAGGATCCCAGAAGCAGGAGCTGATGCAGAGGCCATGGAGGGGAGCTGCTCACTGGCTTGCTTCCCATGGCTTGCTCAGCTACTTTCTCATACAACCCAGGACCAGCAGCCCAGGGATGGCACCACTCACCATGGGCTGGGCCCTCCCCCATTGATCACTAAATGAGAAAATGCCTTAGAGCTGGATCTCATCCAGGCATTTACTCAACTGAGGATGACTTTTGGCTTGTGTCAAGTTGACACACAAACCCAGCCAATAGCCAGTACAATAGTCAAGTTCAGAAAATATGGGACTGTAGAATGTTCTACCCTAAATGGGACTGTGCGCGTGCGCGTGCGCGCGCACACACACACACACACACACACACACACACACACACACACACACACACACAATCTAAGGCTCAGGGAATCTCTCAGTAGACAGACATGGAAAACACAGAGCCAAAGGCTGAGGAAGAGTGCTATGAAACAGTATAGTACCTTCTGGACCTGACAAGGCTGATGCACTGATGGATTCACTGTAGCTATGGTTACCTGTACAAGATCAGGCCATCAACAGTTTACTGTGAAAGGGAAAAGGGCTGATAAGGGACCTTCCTGCCCTGATAGTCTACTGATAGTTGACAGTGGCTGGGAGAGGAATGTCACTTTCTCTCAGGGGGTAGCCACATCATGATAAGCTGTCCGTGCTCCAGGAATCAACCTATCCATCATATTCATAAAGACAACCCTATTTAGTGAGACGGACAGATGGACAAATACATAGTAGAAGGGATACTTGGTGGTAAAAAGAAGGGCTTCAGTGAGAGGAAGGTGATGTGGCAGAGTAATAGGGGAGAAAAGAACTAAAATTCACTATATACATGTGCGAAACTGTCAAAGAATAAAAAGCACAAAGTTCTTCATTTAATAATGATAATAAAATAATAAAAACAAGGAGAGAAGAGGATGAGCTGCCTCCACAGTAACTAAATGAAGAAGAAGCCTGGGAATAACAAGACAGACTCAAGAACACTGAAAAACATGGGGTGAGGAATGAGCTACACAGAATACAAAAACAGAAGGGCTGTGTCCTTACGCAAGCAAATATCTGCTATATGTAAATGTCATATGTTTAGTGCTGTGTTTTCTCTTTCTTACCAGTGCCCAGCAATTCGATTATGTTTTGTTCTGTCTTAGGGTTTGTTTTTCTCTCTCCTTATCTTGCCCTACCTCAAGCCCCAGCAGCTCCAGTCCCAGTTTCCCTGCAGCGTAAGGAAAGGAGAAACTATCTACATTGTAAGCCATGATGTCCGGTAAGGAGACCGGCAGTCCTAGGCAGGGACAACAGTTCTCACAGCCTTAGCTGAGTTGGAAGGTGTGGAACAACAGTGACTCCTGCGTAACTGCTCACCACAAAAGAGCTCCATCTCTTTATCCCCACACTTCAAGGGGTTATCAGCCAGGTTCCCTCTTGAGAGGGTTCTAACTGTTTGGGACCCAGCTACTCTGAGGGTCTGAAGAACCACCAAAATCAGGGAGCCTGAGGGCATACTACCACAATCTCTGACTGTCCAGCAAGATGATCATGGGGAGGAAAAAGGCCAGACATGGGCACACTGAGTAGTTCAGACTGCAAGAAGCCTAGGCAGTGAATGATACAGTGTGGGCAGTGGTTCCACTCTGTACCATACACTTATGGTACAGGTGATGGAGTTCACTACTCCATCACCTGAGGATACCTGCAGCGAGCCTCTCATATGGAAATGTTAGTTTATGTGCATATACATGTATATGTAAAAGGTACAGAACATACTTGTACATACGTATGCAAGTAGAAGCATTAGAGCCATTATTCTATATTCTAATTTTTAGGTGATTTTAAAAGAACAAACGTAAGATTGAGTGTGAGCACCTCATCAGACACTAAGCAAGCCAGAGTACTACAGTAACCTTAAAATGCCAAGGAAACAAAAACAACCTAAAGTTCTAAACCAAGTAAAACCAGTCCTCAAAACAGCAAAGGAAACAGCTCTCACCATAAGAACTGGGGTGTGGCGCTGCACTAGGGGCAGAAGTTGAGGGGGTTCTCAGACATTGGTGTCAATGTTTGCTTTAGGAAGACAAAAAGTGAGCCGTCTGGGGTGACTCTAGAAGCTAAATTTGACATTTATGCCACCCTAACTTTTCCCAATCTGACATCTAGGGATGTATGACTCCTTGAAGCAAGCAGAGCAGACAATGTTCTAGAGAAGTAACTGCATGACTTGGACAGCAACAGGAGACCACAGCTGTAAACAACTCTGCAGGTGTGCACGTTCTCACAGCTGTGCAGAAGCCTGGAGGTGGCCACGGAAGCAAACTAGAGAATTAGTCCAGCACGGAACTGATCAGGCAGCTGCCACTGAGAAGCAATGGGAGGAGGGGCCAGACACTGAAGAAAGACTGAGAAAGCGTTAGACGAGGCAGCGACAGAGATAAAAAGGCTAGTAAACGGAGAGGAAATTAAACTGATAGATGTTACAAATCAGAAAAGCAATGCCGTTCTGTGAAAGAGAAGTGGGCCCTTAAACCTTCAAAAAGATTGACGATTGTGCACTGGAAACCAAAAGGGCTTCATGTCCCTCATGGCTAATCAAGAAGAAGTAGCATGACGTTGTGAAGACAGCATTGTTGTATTAACAAATCTCTTTAGTATTAAACCAAAAAGAAATCTATCCACTCTGGGATTCCTTGGGAGTTGAAAAGTTTCTTTCAAAACAGGCCCATAATCTGGCTCACTTTAAACACAACAGGTCATAGGTCACTCAGATGAATACAGTAAACACAGTATTTTCTCTAAGTCCACACACCTTATTTTCTCAACATACAGAACTAAAATGTTACTAATTTAACTTAAGCAAAGGCAGTGTCTCTGAGGTATTTGTCAAATGAAAACACATGACTTATTTTGTTAAACAATTCGTGTTTTCTGCCATTTGTTATTATTTCCTCTCTGGTGACTTAAATGAAAACCGATCTTTTTGTTTAAGACTTAATTTAAAATAATTTTTACATTGCCTGCTTTCAACCCTCTATAGCTGAAAAAAAAAAAAAAAAAAAAAAGTTCCCATGTTGAGAAGTTGCTCTAGGGCTGGAGATGCAGCTCAGCCATACAGTGTTTTGTTTTCCTTACATGCATGAGGCCCTGTGTTCCATCTCAGCATCACCCAAACCAGTCCAAATACTCACACCATCTCACACACACACACACACACACACACACACACACACACGCACACGCACACGCACACGCACACACATGCACACACGCACATGCACACACGCACACATGCACAGGCACACAGACCATGCATTCCTACTTTACTGATATGACAAATGCAATACAATGAGCATAGTTTTATCTGTCTGTGGAATATTCCTTTACACTGTGTGAATATATGTCGCTGTGATTGGTTTAGTAAAGAAACTGATTGGCCAGTAGCCGGACAGGATAAGGTTAGGTGGGAGAACCAGACAAAGGACACTGGGAAGAAGGGCAGAGTCGGAGGAGTCACCAGGGAGACAGAGAGAAGAAACAGGAGGTGCAAGAAGAAAGAGAGGTAATGCAATGTGGCAGAATGGAGATTAATAGAAATGGGTTAATTTAAGTTGTAAGAACTAGTTAGTAATAAGCCTGATCCATCAGCCAAACAT